CCCTCCATGTCTTTTGTTCCTTGTACTGATGAAGGGGAATTGGGATCCAGGGCCATGGCAGGTTACAGTCTTCTGGCTCCACACAGTATTTGGGTGTCTTTGGAATATTGTTTCTGATTGAATTATGTTGTTTAACGTTTAAAAAACCTGCAGCTGCACATGCCCTCAAGATCATCTTCGAAATCTTTACAATTTGAATCTAAAAATTAACCTGCTATTCTTTACAAATGGTTCAGTTAGTTGCATAAATGACTTAACTAGGTTTTAATAGTTCTTCTAGGACTTGGGCACACATGTGGCTTCAGGCTGAGCCATCAAGTCTGTCACTCAATCATAGCTGTAGTGTGAGAACACAAACACTTGGGGGTAATTGATGCTAAATCCATAGCAATTTACACCTCATTAGAGAGGTGTGAACTAACTCCTAGCTACCTGCCTAATTGAATTTCAGAGAGATTAGGATGCTTGTTCTTCTTTGCCTCTATGTTGTGATGTGACTAAACTGGTGAACTGCAGCTTGAAATCTTGATTCAGCTTATGGTCCTGATTCAGCAAGACCAGACTAATTCCTGAATAGACAATAAATTCTTCCTGCTGAGCCTTGCTCATTTCCAATTTGTTCTTTGCTCCTGCTTCTTCTTCTTCTGATCTGGTTCTGTGATATTACCATGCCTTGTTTGTTCAACCCCAGATTAATCTATTCTCTGATGGTTCTCATTCAACTTCTAAAGGGAGCTGTCCTTATTAACTGATGCTTCTTGAACTTTATGCCTCTTGGGTTTTTCCTTGGCATGGAGTATACATAGTACATAATAGCTAGTGTGATAGCTTTATAGGCTGAATCACCCGGTTCTTTCTATTTGTGTAACCAGGTTTAGATTCTTGCTTGCTGGTTTGGTGACCAGAACCTACGGTAAATGGTACTCCTTAGGTTAAGACTTGTGGTTTCATGTAAATAGCAATGCAGAAATGGGGACCAGACATCACAGTAAGCATAACACAGATGTGGCTCATGCTGAGTATTGAAAGAAAATTCTGAGGCACTTAACACGGCCCCATCTTTGGACCATGGCTTGTGTGAGGGGTCAGCCAGGGGTCAGCAAACTTTTTCAGCAGGGGGCCAGTCCACTGTCCTTCATACCTTGTGGGGGGCTGGACTATATTTTTTTGGGGGGGGAATGAATGAATTCCTATGCCCCACAAATAACCCAGAGATGCATTTTAAATAAAAGAGCACATTCTACTCATGTAGAAACACAATGATACCTGAACCGTCCGCGGGCCGGATTTAGAAGGCGATTGGGCTGGATCTGGCCCCCGGGCCTTAGTTTGCCTACCCTTGGAATAGGCTGTTAACAGCCCCTCAACAAGAGAGGTCAGCTTTTAAAAGTTAGTGTAAATCACATGGCCGCCAAATGTTCTACATCAACACCTCCTAATAGAGAACGCTTACAACTGTGTGGGGCTTCCATACTGACATAGATAATGTTTAATGTTTGTATGGCACTTTCAAGTGTTCAGACTGTTTCACATGCATTATCTTGTTGTAATCATTGCAACAACCCTATAAAGTCAGTGCTGTTATCACTCGTATTGTACTGTATATGTGGGGACTGAGGCTGAGAAAGAATGACTTGCCTAATGCCACTTTATTATTATTTAATTAACAAAATGTATATAGCTTTAAATTAATGAACAACCTATGAGTGGTTTACTCAAGCTGGAATTTCCTGATTCACAGCTCAATCTCTTAGCCACTACACTGTACCTTTAGGCATCAATAAGGACTCTTAGCTAGTAAGGTAAAGGTAAAGGACCCCTGGATGGTTAAGTCCAGTCAAAGGTGACTATGAGGTGTGGTGCGCATTTGCTTTTCCGGCCGAGGGGGATGGCATTTGTCCACAGACAGCTTTCTGGGTCATGTGACCAGCATGACTAAACCGCTACTGGTGCACGAAGGAAGCCAGGCCACACGGAAATGCTGTTTACCTTCCCACCACAACGGTACCTATTTATCTACTTGCACTGGTATGCTTTCAAACTTGGGGGATCACTATGCACATGCTGTTGTGTCCCAGCCATGTTGTTAGAGAACCACCAAGTGTTTTCCCACTCTAGAACAGGTGGCAGAATTCAGAAGATCTCAGGTTCAATTTATTGCCTCTCCAGTTAAAGCAGCAGATAGAAGGTGATGTGGAAGAACAATATTGGGCTTGATGGACTATTAGTCTGACCTGGTATAAGGCCAGCTACATACTGTATGTATCAGATCAAATGTTAAGATTTGAATATTAGATGCTATATATCACTCCTAAGCTTCTTTTTTTGTTTTAGGATGGTTCATGGAGTTAGAACATTCCCTACCATGCTTCTATTAGGCATATTCTGAAGGGCTACTTTCTGTCCATTTTCTGTTGTGCTTACAGAAAATCACAAAACTGAACAGCACACATGGCATACTTTTTGATGGCGTGCTATTAGAAATGAGCCCTCCAGAACTTCTGTGTGATATAGATGTGTGTCAACCCTTTATTTAACAATGGAACAAATGTTTCACATGTCCAAACTTGCCCCATTTGCATATGATCACATCAGTAACAATACCAGACAGTGATGAACTCAGATACACTACTACCCTGATTAAACATACAGAAATATGCTTGGTGCTGTCAAATCACTTGGACCTGACCTCTAGTTACTGAGCTATCCTATTTTAGGCAAGAAACTGCTGAAACCTAAGTTCCCTCACAAATTTCCACTCCTTTCAACCTAGGTGCAAAAGAATTACTGCTTTTCTTACAGCACAGGCTCACTCACATTTGTAGAGAGACATGCTAATCTTCACAGCCTATCCCATGAGAATGCCTGGCAGGAGCCAATCTCCCTTAGTTTCTGAGCTCTTAGGAAAGCAACATAATAAAAGGTAAAATAGTTGATATAATTCTGCTGCCCACAATGTCTCAGATAAAATCAAAGTGACTGAGTGAGTCAGTAAGGGTGCTATTAACACCCTCTGTGGGGCTGTCTTTGTAAATATTAATTGCCAGAGTTGGCTCTTGTTCAGCATGTGCTTCATCAGCATTGTGCTGAATCAAGGTTGTTTCATGTTAACTGTAATTTATTGATGCACTGGACATCCCCAAAAACCACTTCAGCACCTACATTTCTTAGTTCATTCCAGCCAGCTCAACAGATGGTTGGGCGATACAAATCTGTCTGGAGCTTTATAAATTGAGTCTGGATTCATGTAAGACAATCAGCCCAAAGGAAGTACAAATCAAACTGCATCCATTCAGCTTATATTTCACCACCTCAGAATGGCTGTATTACAGATCAGTCCTCATTCATGATGGATCATATGTTAATTCACATTAATTCAGGAAGGCAAAAGATGCTGTACCACAGAGACATACCAGTTTATTATTCTGACCTGTGGTTTCATAAGCAAGAACTGTACACATCTGTCAAAGCAACACTATTTTAAGGTCTTGATTGGGTGACTCAAGCAGCAGGGTACAGGCTCCTTTCTCCCTGTGCCAATGGGGTAGTTTTCAAGCAAATGTTACTGTGGGTCTGAACTATACTGCATTGCAGATGGCTGGAGAAGATACTGCAGCTGTCAGCGCAGCAGGATCAGGTGACCTGAGTAACCAGCAGAGTCTTAGCTAGCCCTATATAATTCATCTGATTCCTAGGTTTGGGCAACTTGTGTAGGCCAAGCTGCTCACAGACTGGTTGAAAAAAAGTAAAGATAAAGCACCAGTCAAAGGTGTATATGGAGTGCGGTGCTCATCTTGCTTCAGGCCAAGGGAGCCGGCGTTTGTCCACAGACAGCTTTCTGGGTCATATGATCAGCATGACTAAACTGCTTCTGGCACAACAGAACACTGTGACGGAAGCCAGAGTGTACGGAAATGCTGTTTACTTTCCTGCCGCAGTGATACCTATTTATCTATTTGCACTAGTGTGCTTTTGAACTGCTAGGTTGACAGGAGGTGGAACGGAGCAACGGAAGCTCACCTAGTTGCACGGATTCAAACCGCCGACCTTCCAATCAGCAAGCCCAAGAGGCTCAGTGATTTAGACCACAGCGCCACCCATGTCCCTAGACTGGTTGAATCCCTGCCTAAATCTCTACCGAACTACTACTGTTTTGCCTACCTTGAGGCGGCCAGCACTGACAGCTATTTTAGTCAGTGTTTTGATTTGTGAGGAGGAAATATTCATAGTTTGGAGGGTAAGGGATAGACTTAAGCATAATATATGCATGGTTTAGATATTTGTGGTTTTAAAACTAGAGTTGAATCAATAAAGATCACTTTTCTCTGCATGTGCCAAATTTTCCATTCAGAGGTTTTTTTTTCTGTTATGTGAATTATGTCAGCTTGAAGCCTAGACTTGTGTCCTTACACAATTCTTCCATGTTACAATTTTAAACAAATCTAATTAAGACAAAAAAGTAATTGTTCACAGCTTAGATTTATTGGAGTTTAAATGTTTCCCTTTTTTTAGACAGCTTGTTATAGCAGCCTCATTTGAACCATGGCTAAGCATAATTGAGCAAACACAGTGAAAATCACAGCCACTTCACTCCTTCCCTGGACCTGCTGCTGCTATGCTTCCAGGAGCTAAACCATTCTTTGGCTTAATGTTACATGTGAATCCAGAGTCATGGTTTGTTACCTAGAGCTTGTGGTTTGTTTGGAGCAAAAAAAAGGTTACAAGCCCAGGTTCACACATTTGCACACACGGCTTAGCTGCTGTTAGTGTGGCAGCAGCAGGGCCAGGAAAGGAATGAAATGACCACAATTTTCGCTCTGTGCTCCTGCATACTTGCTTGTTCATACCAAATCTTAGCTTGGCTTAGCATTATGTGCAAATCAGACCATTGTGCATGGCTCTGGATTGGCCACCCTCTCCTTGTATTTCTAGACATTTAACATTCATCTGTCTTTTTCTTTTTGTTCATCAGGTCTTCCTCACCTAAAATGACACAGCAAATGAGAGACCCGCAGCTAGCCCAGTCCAGGAAGCAACCAGGACCCTCATCTCCAAATGCTGCTAAGAGGCTCTACCGGAACCTTTCTGGGAAATTCAGAGTTAACTACATGTCATTTGATGAAGGGAGCATAGCAGGGAGGAGTGAAAAGGATAAGCTCCGCAAATCCTGTCCCGTGAGTACATTGCTCTAACAACTGAAGAGCTCTGAGGGTTTTTAGAATTTTTATGTCCTGTTAGAAGAACAACTTCTGCTCCATCCATACCATGGTTGCTGAAAGACTACCTGGCTGTTCCTTGCCACAGTGTGGCAATAGCTTTGGATTTTGGCTGCCTACCTACCCACTGTTGTGTCATGAACTCTGAATGCATAGTGCGGCTGGTGTAAAGAAAGGAGGCAAGCGGACTGCTGGACTTTGATAGGAACTTTAGAGGTGTCAGATATCTTCCTGACTCTGAGCTCTTGCAACCCACATTTACCCTGTCTCATTAGAGGTGTTACGGATATGGTAAATTTGGCTTGTGCTGCAGTGGGAAAGCAAAGTGTTGTCTTCTTCTCTTGGCCTCTGCACTGATCTACTCCACCCTCATTTCAATTTTATCTTGCTACTGTAGTGAAAGCAACTGAGCAGAGAAGACTGTGAAATGAGTGGCATACTTACATTTGTGTGACTCTGTTCCTCTCTGCAGTTTCAAGGCAATGCTGCACTCTTTGAGGCTGTTGAGCTGCAGGACCTTGATAAGGTGCAGGAGCTGCTCAAGCAGTTTAGCCTAGAGGAGCTGGATCTTAACACCCCAAACAGTGAGGGTCTTCTGCCACTGGATATTGCCATCATGACCAACAATGCACCCATCGCCAAGACACTGTTGCTGGCTGGAGCCAAAGAAAGCCCTCACTGTAAGTAACCAGTCAATGGCCCAATCCTATGACCCAATTTGTCCTTTCCCGTGGATGCGTAAGGAACTCTGGCCAATTGGGTTTCTTGCTATCATGAGCAATGGGAATTCTACTCTCTTTTGGTGAAATGTGGGAAATGAAAAGCATCTGAAAGGAGTTCGCTGCAAAAGAGAGAACATATAGGACCCTGGAACTAGGGTTTCTGATGCCTAGCGTGCTCCTGTGTCTTTCATAGATGGATGATATGTTCCCTCAGTACAGGAAAAATCACATTGCTAGATTTTTCTGTGTTGTGCCTAAAGTACAGTAGCGATTTTTTGAAACATGATGGTACAAATGAAAGCTATAGCTAAAAGGTTCCAGAGCAGCATATCATCCTAGAAGCTGTAGTTATCAATCTGACTTGGTGTTAGAAATGATGCCAAGAGTGAATACCAAAGGAGGTTGGCACCGGCACAACCATAAAGAGTCACATCATCCTTGTGGCATGTTCCTAAGAGATTATTTCAGCTGATTTGCACACAATAAGAAGTGTGGCTGCAGGATAGATTCAAGCTGAACCGCTTGTACTGTTTGAATCCTCACCCGAGAGATGCCAAAATTTACTCTCCAGAGTGTTACCTTGGAAGAGAACAGCTTTGCTGCAAGAAGCATTAATGCTGCCTGATCAGGTGAAGCGAATAGAATGATGAGAAGGGAATTCACCTCATTTCAGATGACTAGCTAAGAGCAACAGGAAAATCTTCATCTGCTAGTTATTTGCAGGTAGTCTGCCTCATGAATAAGCTGACAGTTCTGGTATTAGGGTCAGGAACAGATTGCCCTTTCTTCAAATGAAGGGATTTCTGTGAATGGAGAGCAGAAGGGGAGTGACTTTGAATAAGTGTTTATTAGTACTCTTTCCCTGGAGATTGGGGGGGGGGGTATTCTCTCACAAGTTTGTGTTCTCTCTGTCTGTGTCTCTCTCTCTCTCTCTCTCTCTCTCTCTCTCTCTCTCTCTCTCTCTCACACACACACACACACACACACACACACAAAAATAGGTTGCGCTAGATGCAGCCACTGGGGTCTCTGCTTTCTGGGTGGCCCACACAGAGAGTAGCCACAGGCCTAGCTGGCACTGTGTGTAATAATGGAGTTCAGTGAAAGGAGATAGAAAAGAGGTGTGTATTTCTTTGCTGCCTAGCCATAGGAGTCAGGCAAACCAAGAGATTCCCGTGAATAAAGTATATGCACTCTGATCCTCAATGGGGGTCTTCTCCTCTTGTTCTTAACATATCTAGACTGAGGAAAAGGAAATACCTCACACAGATTGTGCTCCAGCTGTGGGTTTGTGCATATGTTACTTCTCAAACAGTAATGACAAAAGCTGGATGAAGTAATAGACCTGGCCATCCCATTTAATGGTAAGAAATTGTCCCTAGTACAAGCGATGAGCAGTGATATCCAGCAATAGTTTGCTGGGGTCCCTTGCCACATCTGCCGCCCTGGTACATTGCTGTCTACTGAAGGCACGACCGTGGGGCAGGTAAAGGGGGGGGCATGCACACACACACTGGTATGTTGGGTGCTGGTAGGGATGTGGGTGCAAGCAGATTCGGAACCCTGTGCTTGTGGGAAACAAAGTCAGACCCATTCCAATATTCTGACAGAATGAGGATATTTTCATATTTTAGTCATGAGGTCATCATGATAACTAATGTGAATAGATATTTAAATGTGAATGCTGTTAATCCAGGTTTAAAAGCAGAAAACCCATTTTTAAATACAGTATGTTTTAGTCAATGTAGGTTTTTCATTCAATGTAAGAAATGCAAAAAAAAAAACTTGTTTTGGTAATGCTTAAGGCTCATTCTGGTAGTGCAGGGCAGAATGCTCATCCTTTAATTACCTTTTCCTCTAAGTATTGGAAATGGAAAGAGGATCATAGTTGCCATTTTCCAACAGGTTTCTGGGGTCTTCCAGGGTATGTTAGCTCCTACTAAATAAAAATACCTTGAATAAATAAATAAAATACAATGGTACCTCGGGTTACGTGCTTAATTCGTTCCGGAGGTCCGTTCTTAACCTGAAACTGTTCTTAACCTGAAGCACCACTTTAGCTAATGGGGCCTCCTGCTGCTGTTACGCCACCACTGCATGATTTCTGTTCTCATCCTGAAGCAAAGTTCTTAACCCGAGGTACTATTTATGGGTTAGTGGAGTCTGTAACCTGAAGCATATGTAACCCGAGGTACCACTGTACTAGAAGCAAAATTTCAGAATTCAGTTCTAGCTTGCTATCGGAAGACTTGCTTTGAACTGGTGGATGCTTCCTGCTGTGTAACAAAACAGGATTTCTGCTCCCTGATAAGCAGCAGATTCTGGGGGAAGGGAGGGCTGGGATTCCTTTGAGCTTGGCCTTTAAATCTGCATTTAAGAGGATCCAGAATCACAAATTTGCAGAAAATGTTGTGAAGAAGCAACTTTGTGGTTTTATCTAATAGCTCAAACTCCAGCTGCACAAACCATTTATCCCATGCTGTTTGGGAAATGAGGATCAAGCTGTGCTTCTTCGGCTTGAGGGATTGCTTAGCATGGGAGGTTTTCTGAGGGTAGAGGCAAAGAGAATCACTTCAGAAATTTTCAGGCAGGTTTATGCCTGGTCATGTATTTTTCCTCCTCTTCTTGTGCAATGTATTAAATGTTTCCTTTTCCCTCTGTTCCGTTTCCAAAGTTGTGAGTCTAGAGAGTCGGTCTTTGCACTTGTCAACACTGGTCCAGGAGGCAGAGCAGCGTGTCAATGACCTTACTGCGCAGGTGGTGAATGAGCTACCCAGTGCAGATGGCTCAGAAAAAGAGAAACAGTTAAAAGCATGGGAATGGCGTTACCGGCTATACAAGCGCATGAATGCTGGATTTGAGCATGCTCGTAAGTGTCTGAAATAGCAGCATGCAATGACCCCTAAGTAGATCAGGGATGGGAACAGTGGGCATGTCACTGCAGGGTTTTAGAGATAGGAAATTGGGTGCTACAATATGTAATTAGTCCAGAACAGAAACGAAGAAGTGGCCTTAGGACCTGCCGTAATAAACCCCATGTTGTTTGCAGCACATGGTAAAGTTCTTAATTTAGTGATTCACAGAATCTTGAAGCAAGTCACTAGTTAATGAAATTGGTAGGTCCATGCTGGGTGAATGTGGCTTTCCCCGTGCTGTTCTAGTCAACCTTCATTGAGCAGATTTGAAACTGCTTCTCTCACCCAAAACCAATATTCTAGATCTTTCTGGGTGATATAATAAATGAAGGTATCCTGTACCTTTTGCCACCTTTCTAACCCATTTGATATTTTCGGAAGCATTAATTTCCTAGCTCAGATATAATTATCATAGTGACCCCTAGACTATGAATGCCAATCCAGGTGCTAAGCTTCACAAAAGAAAACATTTCCCTCACTTTTCTGTATGACAAGTTGACTATTTTTGGTGTCATGTTCTCACTTGTAGCAATGGCTCATTCTTCAGGGTAGGAGAGATAAAAAAATCTCAAAACTCTACAATGTCTTGACTTGCAGAAGGAGGTCTGTCTCTTGCATGGCGAGTTCCCGCCCCCCCCCGGTGGAAATAATGAGACATGACGCAATTATTAAGGTTAATGGGCTAAAAAAGGCCACAACTTTATTGGTTACAGTGGAAGAGCAGTATTGGCTTAGGCATTGGTCCTAACTGACTATATCCGACTCCAGCCTGTCTGCTTGAAGTCCGGGAAGGGTTACCCACCAGTAGGGGGAGTCCTGCTGATGCACATCAACTAGGAACTCCCCCGGGGTCACCAATAGGGGGTGTGCCTTAGGCCCTAACCTCCCTAGGCTTCGGACAGGGCCACGCCCCCCCCGAATCCTTTAACAGACTACCCTTCAATATGTGGGGCAGGTGATGGCGCTACCTCCCCTCTTCCATCTACAGAACTATACCAATGCCTAACCACCAATACCCAGAAAGTTGTGACGATTTGCTACAAGGTAGGTGAAAACCAAGTGGCTGGTGCCAATTTGCCAAGTGGAAAAATTCCTACCAGGCCCCTCAATGGCAACCAACCAAGGTCCATAGCAAGGTCAAAGAATGAAAACCTTATAGGGTGGGAGGGTGGGAAAAACAGGGACAGCTGGTGGGTGGCAAAGAGGGAGACCCCTGGCTGTGTCCTGACTTTATAGGGCAGGCCACACCCCCGAACCAGCCGATTGGCCGGCTAGGAGGTGATGCGGCTGGGAATCCCCCCAATCGCGCGGGGCTGGCCTCCATCCACCGTACACGTGGAGGGGCCGTGAAGCCCGCAACCCCACCTCCTCCTTAAGGTGGAAGTGGCTTTGTTTTGTAACGGCTCTTTTAGCTACTATCATTAGAAGGCAAACTTGGAGGAGTATGATTTGGCTAAAATTGTGGGAGGTGGGGTGCAGCTTGTGGATTTCATTAAGGGTTCCCTACCTATGCATCTTCTGCTGATTGAACCCATCTCAGTGCATGCAAATTGCCACCATATCTCTTCTCAGAATTTATTTTATTTTATTTTGCAAAGGAAACATACCTTCCTACCTCACCTCATAACAGAGTCTCTGTTATTGTGATCATTCTGGCTGGCAGTTAAGTTGTAAATTAGGCTTATATTGAAGATTTATTCCTTCCACAGAGGCCTTGATACACCAGGATATGTCCCTCCTTATACTTGTGCTATCTGTTCTCAGGGGTTCCAGATCCACCCATGAATGTTCACCTTTCAGTGGCCAGCAGCACTTCTGTGGATGTTTCCTTCCAGGAGCCCCTAAGTGTCAATTCAGCCATTGTCACCAAATATAAAGGTAAATCCAAAGGATGCTCAGAACCATATTACCAAAGAATTAAACTTACATGGACCTGTGAATTGATTTTTTCTCTCTCGTTTGGAACAATCCTTCTTGACTGGGAATCTGATCCAAGTAAATTCCCAAGGGCCCACTGATTCAGTTCCAAAATTCACCTTTTTTGAATTATTTGTTGCCTGTCATTTTGAGGTGAATAATTTATGGATATACATTGAAGATGTGAAGGTCCAAAGAGCAAAAAGGAATGCATCAGCATAGTTCAGTGGTACTGAACTATAGTTTACAGGGTCTAAAATCTGCTTACATACAATTATATCACACAACATATACATTACAACTGCCATAATGACTGGGAGATGGACATCAATTACTGATCCATCTATGCATCCTCCAAGCCTTAATCAGTTACCATTGCCTTTAAAAATTATTAATTATATATTAATTTTATGAAGAGCTTGCATAACATATGGTAAATATTTTTCAAGGCAATTGTAACTTATTAAGATATGGTAAATTATCTTTTTTTCTTTTTGTTTTATGTCTTTTAAGATTTGAAGGTCTGCAGGCAGGGATTGTCCAGTCATAAATCTTTTTACAGTTCCTAGAATACTTTGGGTGCTATATGAATTATGATTATAATAGACCAATATGATGGATTACATAATCTCAGGCCTAGTTTCAAAAGTTACACTGTCCTAGCCTGTTGGTTGTTGGGAGAGTCTGAAGATTTGTCAAACCAATCTATTTTAAAGGTCCAGGCACCATAACCTGTATGGGGCTCACAGTGGCCTCCCAACCCATCTCCCTGTTTTACTCCTGGAACATAGGAAGCTGCTATATATTTAGACTTTACACCAGGCACATTATTTCATAGAGCTCAAGGAAGGCTGCTCTGGTGCCCTTGATTGGTTGGTTTTATGATGTTCCTGCGCAGTGAAATTAACAAAGTGTGGGATGTCCCTGTGGAAATCTTTATGAGCAGGCTGTAGCAAAGATGGGGTGGGGTAGAAAGGCCATTTAGATGTATAGATTATGAACCTGAGGGCAGAGACTGCCTTACTACTAATCTTTGTAGACTACTGTTTGAGTCTGTTTGGCTAAGGAACAGGGTAAAAATGCTTTCAAATAATTAAGGAAGGTCAGGAATGAAGTGACCGTCTCCCACTGCAGTCCTTCCTCCAGGCTTTGTGAAATACATGACCTTTGCTATCAACACATCAGGCCTGATGGTGCTGTTGCTGAATGCCAGATGAGCCATAATAAAAATAAATGATTCATATTTCTGGGGGGAAGTGCTGGCCTGGCATGTATGGGCCATTTCAGAAGGCTTGGGGGACCAGCTTTCAAGCCTATTCTGTAGTGGTGTTGGCAATGAAGCAATATTTCTGCTTCCCCATTACATCCTCAACTTGCTGCCCAATATAGCCCAAGACCTTTTCCATGTTCAGGAACACTTAGATGCCTGCTAAGAGTAGTAGGCTCTTTGAAGATAAAATTGCTTACATCTGCAGCAATTTGGATACCACAGTTCTTTAAATACAGTCTGTTCATAATTCCAGAACACCATCTAGTTAAATACTGTTGGATGAGTTTTGATTATTGAGGTCTAATGACACTGATAGGTGCTTGGAAGAGTATCATCTACTATAACTTGCCTAGTTTGCTTTATAGTTTGCTTTGTGCAGAGGGTTGACAGGTTTGTTCCTGGATGTTATAAAGGCCAGCTTGCAAAAGTGGCTGTTGTCAGTCACCTTGAAGTAGGCAGTTGTGTAGTGGCTCCTGGAAGAAGAAAAACCTTCACTGAACCCAGGAAATAACAGCTAGTTGTTCATAGACCCTCTGGGGCAAAATGCTCAGATGAGTTGGATAGGCAACTTGAGTCACTCTTGAATGAGACCAAGTATCTAAATGGATTTCAATTTAACGTCTAATACGGAAACACCTTTGGTCATCCTGAAGGATGATATCCCAGGAGATAAATCAGGAAAGTATGACCTTGTAGATTCTCCTGGACCTTTCAGTGGTGTTCAGTACCTTTAAACATCTTTCTGGACTAACTGTCCAGTATGGGAATGAAGGGCACCATGCTTCTGTTCCAGTCTGGATGGCATTTTGATTAGTCTGATCCATTGCATTGTGGGACTCTTCTTTATCCCCTGTGCTGTTTTAACGTATACATGAAACCACTGAGTTCATTCCAGGATCTGAGATGAGATGTCAGCAGAATGTAGATTATACCCAGCTGTTTATCCTGTTCAGTCACCTCAGGGGAAGCTGTGGAAGTGCTGAGCTGCTGTCTAGGATCAGAAGATGAGTGGTGATAAGAGATAAGGCCTCAGTTATAAGCACCACCTCTGGAATTCCCTTCCCTCTGTTTTTATCTATTTTATTTGCACAGGCACACAAGAGATTAAACTGAATTCTTAACGATATGATTACTGTTTGTTTTCTTTGGTTTATTGTATTTGTTTAAAAATTATTTTATGTTACCTACTTTAGGACTTCTGGCTAAAGAAAGGCTAAGAGATTACTTAAATAAATAAATAAATAAATAGTCCAGGGTTTCATGTGGCAGTTCCTGTGTGCAGTTTCATCTCAGTTACTGCCAAGCTCTTCGTAATTTTGCAAACTGATTTTGCATTTGAAATATTTAGACATTGTGCATCCACCAAATTTGCATAATTCATGGAGATTACTGAGCTTAAGTTTTCTAGTTGTTGAATTTGAAATATTTTCATGCCTTTCTTCTAGTCCATCTCGGTTGGTGACCACTTGTGACATGAATCAATCTCACCACTTCTCCAGAATCTGCTGTTCTGGAAATTTGGTAGAAAGTGCCTTACACTTCTTCTGTAATGTGAGAAGGAAATATGTGGCTGATTTATGGTAGTGTCTAAATGGTGGTGGTTCTACACTAGGCAAGTTGCTTTTTGCTAAAAGTTTTAGAAATGTCTTCCCAAGTGCTCACTCGAGTTGAATGCCCTAACTCTGTCCCATCTTCAGGCTATTTGGATCCCATAAAAGCATGTCCCTTTTTGGCTTCAACACCTGCTCCCTCAACATAGAATTCCCAGCAGTTTAAATCCTTTGTGTCCTGTCATCATAACTTTGGCTTTCAGAAGAATTTTCCTTTACCAGTCTCCACCAAATCCTGCCACTTAATCTACTTTGTCTATTTCCCACCCTCTCTCTGTTGCCTTTGTTTGGTCCATCTGTTGTGCTTTCTCTTTTATCTCTGGGTTCATCAGCTTGACTGTTCATCTTTTGGCCTGCCTTTTTTGCCTTTAACTCTTTCTGTTACGTCTCCTGTGCTGAGATAAAGAGTTGAAGTAACCCTAGCTATAGAGACTTCTCTGCTGCGCTATGTGCAGCTCCTGCATTGCACATTTGGCAGGGAGTTAAGTCCTTTGAATATGAAAAAGGTGTGCCCTGTTGTTGCACTCTCTCTCTTTCTCTTTCTCTCAATTGACACCTTCCCTCCCCACCCCCCAGCTCTTCCATGCCTTTTTTCTCATTACATTTTTCCAGTATGCACAGCTGGTCCCGCTGTAGCTGGTTCTTCAGTTTCACAGTCAATCCCCTTACAGCAGCTGTACCATCCCTGGCAGCCTAGCTTTCTAATCTAGCCCTGACTGACTGCCAAGCACTACATCCTTTGCCTTACTGATGAAAGACTCCCAATTACTGACGGAGTGGCTGTGCTTTTCCTTTGTTTGCAGTCGAATGGAGCTGCTCCCCCACCTTCTCCCCACCGCTGGGTGAAGTGGTGATCAACAAGCTGAAAAACCTACATATCACCATCCATGGCCTCCTCTCGGTGAGTAAGTTACTGTGCTGTGTGCTGAGCCACAAGGGTACTTCAGGGAATGACCCCAATTGATCCCTTCACCCCATACTTCTTGTTCTAATTCACCAAAGTGCAAGCTAACTGCAGTGAACCTCTGCCCACTGCACAGCCAGAATTTGAGGATGTCTGAATGATTTTCTTAAGTAAAGTGCCCATTTCAGGGATTGGTACTTCTTCACACAACACTGAACTTATTAAGTTAACTGCATGCAGGTAGCCATTTTAAGTTCCCTGAAATGTGTGTGGCCTATTTAGGACCCAATCATTACATTACAAGGCAGCAAGATGCAGCATTTGCCCTAATCAGTGGCTGCAAGCAGGGGATAAGGAGCCCTAAATTATTTTCCTCTGAAACTTGGTTAAGTGGATTTTGTCATGCTTCCTGATTGAGATAACTATGGTCTAAATAGAGTTTATAGATTTGTGAGTAATCTTGTAGTAGTAATAGAGGTGTGGCATAAAACTGAATATGGTTTTTTGAAGTGGGGGAGATAACTGAGGTAAGAGCTCCAGCAACAGGCTTCTTGTTGCTGTAGTGTGAGAAAGTAGGTGTCTGAAATGAGGCACATGATATGCAGGCACATGTCATAAATTTATTGCTAGGCTGTACCAACTGAGACTGCAGAGGAAAGACCAAATATTTGTATGTTCTCTCCTAATGAAAATCAAGCTGCACATACAACAATAATATATGAAGCAGAAGGGGTCTAACTTAGGTTTCTCCTTATCAGGACATGGCTTTTTCTTGCCACAGATGAGTGCATATTTCCATGCCTGGTCATGAGGCTTCTGGGCCAAATAGTCCAGTACAAAGGCTTGTGGTGAATATTTTACTTATACTTCAGAAACCAAAATGTCTGAGGTTGCCCATGAGCATAAAGAAGAATTCAAGCAGTCTCAATAATTTAGCAAGATATGAAAGTAATTTTTGTTCCTTTTCATGAGTTTTGAGACGTGCCTCTTGTGCAACTATTTTTGCCTGTTCTTGTGAACACATTTGTAATTTCAGGGCTGTTCTTTTGGTACCACTTTCTTCCCTTCTTCCTGCTTCCCCACTCATTTCCCCACACTGGCTAGCCATATGATTTTGCAGTGACGTGATAAGGCTGTCAAACAATTAAGAAACATTTAATGCAGACATAATAAAAATAGTATCTTTAGAAAATAATAATGATTTGTTTACAGTTACCATTTCCTCATGAAATGCAACATGCTAAATGCCAGGAGCAGTTCATAGCTTTCAGTGTATGCATGGGAAGGAGCAGCCACCCCCAGGCTGAAATCTCAGGGTCCTGCAGTTGAGCTTTAGTCACTAAACCGTGTGATCCATAGTTTTTTCTGTGATTTCTACCCAATGGCACTCCTTCTCTCCCCCCCCCACTCCAAGCCAATAAATCGTATACCCCCACCACCTGCAAAGATCAAACTCTCCACCAGCTCCATGGCTAATTGGAGATGAGAATCAGTGACTCCACTCCAACCCTCAAGTGTATGGAGGTCATGGGTTGGCTGGGACCTGCCCCCCACCCCTGCAGTTTTATCTCTCTGGGAACTGCAAGGCCCACACTGCCTGTCAGCTGTCCCCTCCCCATTGTGTGGTGGACAGCTTCCAAGAGCTCAAACAGGAGCCAGACTTCTGAACAAACAGCAAGTTATGGGGGAGACGAGACTGGGAGCTGCAAAGGGGTATGATTTTGCAACAAATGGCCTGTAGGCTTGCTCTGCTCCCTTAGTCTCCTAAGAAAACTTACATTACACATAATATACCCAACGGAAATGTTTGCTTGTGAAGCTAGTTATGTGATACCACTAGGCTGACAATCAGCTGACATGGTTCAATTGGCTGTGGCCCAAAAAAGAATTTGGATTGATTTTGATCATACATTTAATAGGAAAGACATACTCCACATGTGAAACTGAACTGATAGGAACAATCAAGTTGGGGGTTGGGACTCAAGATAATTTGGTACAGACTGAAGGCTGTCTACAGTGGTACCTCGTGTTAAGTACTTAATTTGTTCTGGAAGTCTGTTCTTAACCTGAAACTGTTCTTAACCTGAAGCATCACTTTAGCTAATGGGGCCTCCTGCTGCCGCTGCGCCGCCGGAGCACGATTTCTGTTCTCATCCTAAAGCAAAGTTCTTAACCCAAGGTACTATTTCTGGGTTAGCAGAGTCTGTAACCTGAAGCGTATGTAACCTGAGGTACCACTGTACACTGCTTTACTGGGCGCAACCAGCAGTCATTCCTATTTTAGGGCAATATTATGCATCCAGGAACTGAATACATAACAAATATTCTTTGGCAAGGTTATGGGGCAACACTGGATGCAGAGGGGAATTCAGATTTATTTCCTGGGTATCTGCTGGACATCCAGAAAATTTATGTGGACTTGGATTAGATCTGAATATGATATTTGGGTATTTTTAATGCAAGACAACATCATTAACTCTGCTTCTATCGTCACATCACAAATGATTCCCACTTAAGTAATATGAAATAGGAGGGTTAGTAGGGTTTCCATTTGTGGTAGGAAGGATGTGGAATATGCTGAGTCCTCTTGGCCTGGCACACAGCACAAATATCATGGCAGGGTTTAGAGACTTCTGTGGAGCGGCAGTGCTACCCTGAAGCCCTCATCTGATTTTATTTTTAATCATATATGATACAGACTAAAGCTTGTCTGAATTCAATCAGAAATTAAATCTGCAAAAGCTGAACTTCCAAAATCTGTCAGACCATCTGAGTTATTCTGGAGTTTATCAGCAACTTTAGTCTAAACCCATGACACAGGAGAAGACAGAAAGACGGTGCAAGATGGTGATGGCCTGCACAGCTTCTGCAAGTTCATAGCCCATAGGCAGTATTGCTCCACATCCTCCCTCTCTTTCAATAATGACATATTATGGAGAACACCTGGTGACTATATTAGTGGAAGGGAAACTGAAACCACCCTTCTGAGCAACAAGGTTTTCTCTAGTCCATGTGACTCCTTATTCCTTTCCCTACAGGGTACAGCTTACTACGTCCAAGTATCTGCCTACAACATGAAGGGATGGGGACCTCCACAAACTTCAATACCACCCTTTGCTATTCCATCAAGTAAGTAGAAACATCAGGGAGCATCAAACATACACCTTATCATTCATACCGTAAGGCTAGTTTACTGGTCTTGCTCATGTTTTAGAGCTGAGTGAGCACTCAATGGTATAGAACAAAGGGTACTGTGGCATTCTGAAGACTAAAATAATGATTATGGCACCAACTTTCATGGGCTATTCAAAGATAATTTTATGAGAATTGCAAATTTTTTTAAAGAAAAAGCAGGGATTGACTTACATGCTGTCCCCATTTGAAATGTGCAAGGACAGATAGGTCTAGTAGTAACAACAGTGGTGATGGAAAAGAAGGTATACTCTTGATATACTGTAAGGCACGCAGCACGCAGCACACAGCACGCAAACACCAGAACATTGTGTCTCCAAATTCTGGTTATCCGAAACACCAAAGTCCTACAAATTAACATGCCCTTCAGGGATTCCCATGGCAGCATAATTTGCAATAGCAATGCTTCTTTTTATCTAAACTTCTAATTATTAAATGGTTCTCTGTCCTTCTTTTTTAAACAAAAAAGGCCCATATATTTAAAATATTATTTTGGTATCCTTAATCTCCTTTCTACTCTCTTATATATTTATTTTGTTAGGTTGTTAGATTTTTTTGCTTTTCCCATCTCAAGAGCTCAAGATGTATAACAGTATGATTCTTAATATAACCTATCACTAGAAGCCAACTGAAATAAATTTTACACCATATAAGCTTGGGCTTTGGTGAGTCGTGAAGGGACCAGAATCCCTACGTACAGCTAACCTGAAGGGTTCAATGGTTTATTTTTGGGGAGTGAGAAGCTAATACTTCACCTGTAACCTGGGTTTTTAAAGGGTGGAAGCAAGTTTGATACATTCTGGTGGGCTGAGGGAGCAGTTTCCTTAGGCTTTTCTTCCTTTTAGATAAGAGAGGTTTGCTGCCCCTGAAGCAGCATCAGAGTTCTAATTCTAATACAGGTCTCAGTAGTGCAGTGGATCAGTATGTCTGGCTATTAACTAAAAGGTTGGTGGTTTGAGCCCACCCAGGGACTTTTGTGGACAGCATTCATGCATTGCAGGGATTTGGACTAGGGATTTGGACCAGTAACCACTTTGGTCGTATATGATGCCTAAATGGGAACAATGCTATGTCATGACATAGCTTCATTCCCAGGAGCATTGTTGGTTAAAAGGAAAGACAGCTGCCCTTACTGCAGAATAGGCAGCTGATTGGAGCTCCTCTGCCACCCTGAATGGTAGAAAGTCTTTTTGCTTTATTTTGTTTTAAATAAAGGAATACTTAAGGAAGCCTTCTGCCGTCTCATCTTGCATGGGTATACATACGCCTGTGTCCCCTAAAATGTATCAGTTTTCCTTCTCCCCTGAGAAAGTGGCAGAAAATGCCCCCATTCACGGGCTCAATGAAGGTGATGTATGATTTTCATCCCAGTGTACTATATGAAATGCACATAATAAAGCAAAGCCGAATTCAAGCAAAAGAAAAATTCCAAACGTAATAGTTATATTTTCCCCTGTTTACAATGCAGTTAGATCATAGAATTCCTGTCACTGAGGCCAAGAAGGATTTCCATCGCTTTAACAACAGCCAAGACAAGACAAGGTTTCTGTAAATAATGCTGCTGTTGTGTACAACTTAAGAGATGTAAATTGTGTCTTTCATGGTCAATCATTCTCTAACACGATGAGACATTCATAGTTAAACAACTGTTTGTCATTCTCTCCTCTGCTAATTACACATCTTGCTCCATCAACCACAAAGGCAATACCTTTAAGGTCAGTCCATGTGGTCCAGGGATGCAAATCCATCATGACCAAATTGGAAGTTAACGGAGCTCAGATCGATGGATTAGGCCCTTTAGCTTTGGGTTGTATAATATAGCACGTAACTATAACATTCCAGCCTGAGTTATAAAGTAATTTATTCCTTGCTTTCAAATTTTAAAGAAAATATTTCTCCCCTAAATAAAAATAACCAACTTTTGTCACGTAAAAGTGTGCAGCACCTCCCTGGGTGTTTTTAAAGCACCTAAAAATAGCACCAGGTCCCAGCCAAAGTTAACAGAGCTGATCTTTCCATGGAAAACAGCAGCACAGGGGAGTGTATAAACCAATTAATGCAAAGTTAATGTAAAAGGGCTGCTTCCCCCACACTAGCCTGTGCTGCTCAGTAGCTCTGCCACCTCATAACTAAGAAGCACAAGGAAGAGGTTCTATTTATTTATTTGTCTAGGTGAGTTTAACTCTCACTATTAGTATGAAGAAACTTCTGCTCAGTTGAAGGCCAGCAGCCGACATGAGGCTGCGGAAATACTGAAAAGAGCTACAACAGACCCAACCTTGTTTGTTACTATGATTTGTCATCTCCTCCTACTGGCGGCAGCTGTTAAATTCCGTCACCCTTATGAGCAGTTCCCACCAGTGGTTACTGCTTTGGGGTTATTGCTTCTGTGTTGCCTATCATGATTTGCACATCTTAAGACTGAACTCTCATGTAAATCTAGGAGGAATCCTAGGCAGAACTATCTGCATTTCTGTGCTAAATAAGATAAATTGTTATTAAGTGAAAGAATCTGCATCTTTAAAAAAATCTCAGCATTCATTGAAACAAGAAATACAGTTACTAGATTTCAGTGATATACTTTAAAACATGTTGGCTTGGTGAAATCCCAGAAGCTGAATACAATTTCCAGTTATCAGGGGATGGGGCTGCAATGCTTTTCATAGCTTCATGTCTAGCAGCATGATAATCAATAGAACATAAATAAATATACTGATTTTTCTTTAATTAGTGTAATTTATTCAAGATACATAGTATGATTTTCCTTGCTCCAGAACATGGAGTACCACAGTGCAGAATTTTGATTTCTAAAACAAGGACTATGTGTAACCTTAGTCATACTGCAGATACAGTCTTAAATAGTTATCTTCCATCTTTGCAAAGTCAGGACTTTTTAAACATCAACCTACTTTATGAAACTGGCTGTTAATGTTTTACTGTACTTCCCATATATTTCCTCTGTGTTCTTCCCCTTCCCCCCTTCTATTGTCACCTCTTTCTCTTTTTTAATCTTAAACCAATTAAGACCTACTTAGCATGTAACACTAAGCCAAACCATATCTTAGCATGAACAAGCAAACATGTGGGTTACCAGTGATGATTTTACTCCTTCCCCAGTCCTTTCCTTGTTGTGCTACCCAGGGCTAAACCATCATGTGGCTTAATATGTCTAAATCCAGGCTTAAGGTGTCTCACTCCAGACAAATTACAAGCTGTAACCAAGGTTTGTTCTTGGTTTACTACGCATGATCTGTCTGGCAGAGACAAACCATGAGCCCAGGTTCAGACATAATGACACAGCCCCAGATAGCATGGCAGTTATATGACAGAGGGTTGCAGCCACACTCTTTTGTGTCAGGAACCCTCATGCTTGCTCATTCGTGATTTGGTATTATGTGCAAACCAGGTCTAAAGCTCGAAAATGGTCATACAAAAGTTGGTAGTGGTTCTATTGCTGGTTTGATCCATTTAGGTAAGGATTGGACCCAGTTGTGGGTGTGACCTGTAAATCGAAAACCACTATCTAAGACTAAGGCTTTCAAATGGTGATGATCTTCACCCATTCATCAAGTCTAGCTTTTAGTGTCAATAGATCAATTGTCTTTTGAGCAATGTTTTGTCCAGAAAGCTGTTCCGTAGTGTACTATGGGTATGAAACAACTGTGAGAGGAAAATATTGTAATGGATTGGAACTGCTAACAGTTTGTGCTGCTATTTCTCTGTGTATTTTATTTGCTTCCCACTTCAGACTGGAGAGAATATGATGGGCGGGCACCAAGGCGAAGAGGTCAAGCTGAAGCTTTGGACCATCTTCTAAGCCAGGTGAAGATGGTGCACCAACAATGTGTGTGTCACGGTGAGTCCCACTTTTGTGTCCATAGGCAGTTTAGATACCAGTTCTCTTGAATAGCCTATTCATTGTGGGGAATGTTCAGAGTGGCAGGAAAGGATATGTTGTTTATTAATATCCTTCCTAACTTGCACTAGCAAGTTCCTTTACTTAGCAGAGTACATTCCCCTTTACACAGCAGAAAACTAGTTGCAAACTTGTGTGAGTTTCTTAATACAATACAGTGGTGCCTCGCAAGACGAAATTAATTCGTTCCGCGAGTTTTGTCGTCTTGCGATTTTTTTCGTCTTGCGAAGCACGGTGTTGGGAAAGTTTTGGAAAAGCTTCAAAAATCACCAAAGTCTTTAAAAACCTCAAAAAAGGCTACCACACCACGTTCTATGAGTTGCTCCTCGAAGTCAAGTCGCAACTGTATTAACGGTGTTAAGAAAAAGGAAACAAACTTGCAAGATGTTTCCATCTTGCAAAGCAAGCCCATAGGGAAAATCGTCTTGCGAAGCAGCTCAAAAAACAAAAAACCCTTTCGTCTAGCGAGTTTTTTGTCTTGCGAGGCATTCGTCTTGCGAGGTACCACTGTACACAATTCTGTCTGGTTTGTCCAGATTGAAATGTGTTCTAAGATTTTCCTGGTAAGACCCCTTGAATTCCTCTAAAAGAATAAAGACACCACAGTCTTATTCATAAGTAACAAAAAGAAAGTTTACTCACAATTAGGCAGAGCACAGTGTGATCCCTGAAGGCAGACTTTAGGCTTAAAGTTAGGTAAAGGGACCCCTGACCGTTGTGTCTAGTCGCAGACGACTTTGGGGTTGGAGCACTCATCTCGCTTTACTGGCCGAGGGAGCCGGCGTACAGCTTCCGGGCCATGTGGTCAGCATAACTATGTGGCTTCTGGCGAACCAGAGCAGCACGCGGAAACACCGTTTACCTTCCCGCCAGAGCTGTACCTATTTACCTACTTGCACTTCATGCTTTCGAACTGCTAGGTTGGCAGGAGCAGGGCCCGAGCAATGGGAGCTCACCCCGTAGCAGGGATTCGAACCTGCCTTGGCTTTTTACCAGGTCACGCCTACCCACTAGTCACATGCAAGGAAGGATGCTCCAGGCCAGGAGGAACAGGAAGTTTCGACTGGCTGGACCAAACATTCCCTTGCATGTCCACTCTAGCAAAAGAAGGAATGTTGTATTTGACTGCTCTCAGTGGATTACATCCCACATACATGGTTTGCTAAGGAAGAATTGGAATTGATGGGAAGGAGAAATGGTGACTAGATAAGGCCACTGCTAGCATATTAAATGAAAACTCCTGTTGAAACCTGTGGAAATTCCTCTGCACATTATAGTCTTGTCTGACCAGTACCATTCCCCCAACTAAGTGGTAAAATACTATTAAATATACAGTGATACCTCCAGTTTTGAACGGGTTCTGTTCCAGAGGTCCGGCCAGATCCCGAGGTTTCAGCAACCCAAGGATCACTGTTCTGCGCATGCACGTGGCAGTAGACCGCTTCTGCGCATGCACTTAGGGGCGGTAGACCGCTTCTGCGCATGCGGCAAAACCTGGCCCAATACTTCCGGGTTTGATGCTTTCGTAACGTGAAGTTTACGTAAAGAGAGTTACGTAAGCCGAAGTGCTACTGTACTTGTATTGGGCTCCCAGTGGTTTTAAGAGAATCATTGAAATCTTTGTAGTAATCAGATGCTGTATTTTGGAGAACTATGCATGCTCTATGGAAAAGTTCATGAAGGAAATAAGCTCCTGAAACCCTCAGAAAAAAAAATAATCAAGCCAACTTCCTATGCACCAAGAAGAGAGTGTATATAAATAACCACAGGGTCGAGTGAGGCTAACAGCTGATGTCCCAGTATATTCTTGTTTTCAAAAATGAGTTTGTAAATTATATGAGAATCTCCAGCTTGGTTGAAGCTCTGCTTTCACAGCAGATGACAAGGCCTTTCTCTTGCATCCTCCTTGTTGTTCCTACCTGGATCTGCTGACTAATAAAACTGTGATATGCAATAAACAAATCTTGACCAGAGCCATAATACTGAACTGCGGAAACCAGCCCTTAATTATGGATGAAAAATTATGAAGCATCTCAATGAAATCTTCTGCTGTCTGACTCCCCCAAATTTTAGCTAAGTTATACTTCATACCCTTCTAGAAACAATAGCTAAAGGTACCAGTACAAAAGGTAAAGGAGACTGGGACTCCTCTAGCTCCCTTGCAATTTGAGCACTGGAGTTAACTGATTTTTGTATGCTAGTGTGGTCTGTTAGTGGTGTTTGGGAACTGAGTTCAAATTCTACAGGCAATTGCTATAGGGACAATCTATGTGATCTAAGTGTACAAATCCAACTACGACTTTTTACTTCTCTTTGAATCCCAAACAAACATAGATTGCTGGATCTTTTGATTATCTTCTGCTTTTTAAATTAAAATACTTAGGACATCCCTCACAGGGTTATTAAGATGAATGAAACAAGAATTATAAAGCACAATTAAAGTAATATATGGAACTTTAATTGTGCTTTACAATCCTTATCTTCTGTACATATTTAATAGGTTAAAAACTGGTTGCCGCTTGTCTGCTAGCCCTCCCTAGAGATGGAATGTTCACAACCTTTGAGGAGCAAGGCTTAGTTACAGAAGGAACAGTGGAAAGAAAGCAGGGATCCAGTTGGTAGCATGGCTGAAAAACAGAACAAAATAGCCAGCGTGCTACAAAATCAGCAGGTTCCTGTGGAATGAATGTGGGTGATAGTAAAGTGTTGAGAGAAAAGAGGGACTGGAACATAGAAAGCTGAAGAAAAGAGAGGTCAAGGGGAAAAGGTGCTGGGAAACCCTCACACAAAAGCTAGGCGGAGGAGGAGCTATGTGAATTTGGCAGAGTAATAGTTTGCACCAAGGGGGAAATGGGGAATGAATGTCATATCTTCTTGGTTTTACCTAACCAGCCTAGTCTTTTATCTTGAATCTTTAGTAGATATATACACAAGGCTAGGTAATAAGAAAAAGGATGAGTTGACAGTAGTATAAATGATGGTTTGTGTAATGCCTTCTGCATGTGCTTTGCTCCTCAGAACCCTGTAAGAATCAGCCACAGAGCAGAAAACACTCTGTCTCCAAGAGTCTGAAGTATCTCTTCCACCCTGGCAGCAAATTCTTAAAAACACTGAAAAGGTAAGGTGGGGGGAGATTATGCCATCTGTCCACCTATGCACTCCCTTGCTATACTTGCTGAGTTTCCCAGAAACCGGGTGTGTGGGTCACTTCAGTGTTTCCCAGGCACTTCAGGGGAACAAGGGAAATAGGGAGGGAAGCTCCTGTATCTTTCTTCCATTCCTCACTCCTCACCATGGTGGGAAGAATACTTCCCAGTAAAAACAATGATGATGATGATGATGATGATGAATCCCTCCCAAGCTAACTTTTTTCTATCTTCCCAGGGGCCTGTATCTGGCATCAATATTCTACAAGGATGACAACATATTGGTCACGCATGAGGATCAGATCCCTGTGGTCGAGATAGATGACACCTATTCTTGCCTGCTCATGCAGGACTTTCTCTGGTTCACTAAGGTGACCGCTTAGTAGGGTGACTTCTGAATGTGTGTCATTTTATTTAAGGTTAAATAAATATGTTTAAAAGAACATTATAAATTTACATCTAAATACATATTTTGTAGTCCATTGAAACATTTTCCTTTGACTTCCTATTTCTATTAAGTAAAAAACAATATTGTTACTTTACTTAAGACAAATTTAAATATAAGGAGAGGGAACCTAGCATAGGACAATATAAAAAGGTGCACAGTTGCAGCGAGAGAGGGACTCTAGTTAGGATACAAACATGTTTCCTCTATTCATTTTTTTTAAAAAAAATGCTGAACTTGGGGAACTCCATACCTGCCGTATGGGCAGGTATGGAGAACTGGGCAGACCTGAGAATCCTAAAATGACCTGTTGCTATACTTGATATAGGTATCGTGCATGTGGGATGAAATCCTGTGGTTGCGTCAGTGTGTCACTGTCTCCCAATCATCGTGTTCCTGCATTCTGCAAACACGTCTCAAGATGCTTCTGGCCATCTCACAGATGCAGGTAAGAAAAGAGGCCTCTTCAAGGCACAGGAGTGCCAAAGATGGGTATTTTGCCAGCTCGGCACATATCACTCATACATCTGATGCTCAATCCATGGATATTTAGGTCAAAATCATTAGATCTGAACTTCAGCTAGATAGATCTAATACCCTTCATATACTAAGCAACTCAGACAGGTGAGTAGGATTGAAAAGTCAAGGAGATATATCCATCACTAAGAAGGCATTTGAGTTTGAAGCAGAAGCAATTGATAACATTCAGAGTTTCTTGGGTGTGTTTTTGGCCAGGGGCCAATTTCTGTGTTCCTTTCCAACATAAACTCACCTCTTGGGAAAAATCCTAATAATAAATGGTTAGCTGTTCAAACATTTGTTTCATACCCAACATGCACATTGTGAAGCCATTATGTTGTCTCTGTGCTACATTATTGGGAGCAAAACAAACATTTCTATTTTTATGCTATATTTTGCATGTTATAACAAGTATCTTAATAGATCAAGCTTTAATTGATTAACTAGTGCAATTCATCAGTTAAAACAGATTCCTTCAATGCCAGTAAAGAAATTATTGAGGAAAGTGCTATAGATTGCAGAAAATATTAACTTATTCTTCCTTTCTGCCTGACAACAGACCTCCAAGGTGGCTGAGAATAAGCAGAAATAAATATGTAACAAATATGAAAATAGGGGTGACTGATGAAGATTGGGGGGGGGGCGTGGTGCAGACTAATGTACTGCCTACCAATTTCCCGATGAAAGGCTATTCAGCCTGGTGGTATTAAAAATGATAGTGACGTATTGAAGGGGCTGTACTTGTTGGCTATCATGTATAGCCAGTTCCATATGTGGTTAAGCTTTTTCGCAAGCAACTTTTTAACTACGTATGTACAATGAATATTTGCATTGACAGACAGCAGAAAGCAAAGATTTCAAGAAGCGAATGGCCATCTTAGTCACTCTTCATAATGAGTAAAAACCATTGTGTTCATTCAGATTCACTAAAAACAGCTTTGCCAAAGTGTTGTGATATATAAATGTACGTAAATTTAATTGGTTAATTGTTAAAATATACTTTTATCTGTTGACAGCCCTGCTTATTATTCGTGTATTGTTAGGTGACTTTGGTTTTAGGTAGCAAAGCAGCACTGTCTTAATATTTAAATGCTCAATACCTTTTACTGTTACAGTGGTACCTTGGTGCTAGAACTTAATCCGTTCCAGGAGTCCATTCAACTCCCGAAACGGTTTGAAAACCAAGGCACAGCTTCCGATTCGCAAACCGGAACACTCACTTCTGGGTTTGCGGCATTGGGAGCTAATTTGTTCAGGAGCCAAGCCATTCGGGAACCAAGGTACCACTGTATACCCTTGGAGAATATAGAGTATATGCCATCTAGAGCCAGAATCCACTCTCCATAAATGACTTTTTCCTCTCTTTATTATTATGAAGGGTCTGCTGGGAATTCAGGATCTGGGACATGTCTTTTTTGAGCCCATCAAAGACAAGCAGGGCAATATTTTAGTTGTGACCCTAAAGGAGGTGAAGACAAACCAGACGTTTGAAAGTGTCCACTGGGTCCCCCTCTCAAAGCTGCAGACAAGCCGCAAGTCCATCTCATCTCCAGAAGAGCCTACAGCTCTGGATGTGCTGCTGATGACCATGCAGGTGGCTGGTGTGTGTGTGTGTGTATGTGTGTTTAGTGATGGAAAGGCTGTGCTCATATTCAGAGGCACTCAGTGACAAACCAAATACTTTGCATACAGAAAATCCCAGATGCAGTCCCAAGTCTCTCCATTTAAAAGGATTGTAGGAAGGCAGGCTGGAAAAGACCACTACCTCAGACCTTGAAAACCCACTGCCAGTCAGAGAAAACAAGGATGGAGAACCCCTAGGGGTCAAATGCAACCCTTCAAGTTTCTCTCTGATCCTCAGGACTCTTCCCAGGCCATACTCAGTGGCCCTGCTTGGCTGCTTTTGCTACAAAGAATGTGTCATTGAATTCTGTTAATGTCTTGCTTGTTTGGATGTAAGATATGAGAGGGGTGTGTACATGTGGAGAGACTAGACTACTATATAAATATAAAATTAACATTCATTGTTCTGGTCCTGCTCCCCCCCCCCCCGAAGGTTGCCAGAATAGGATGTGGACCCCAGGTTAAAAGAAGTTCCCTATCTTTGGACTAACCAGTACTGGTCTAGACAGACCAACTGTCTGGCAATACATGGAACCTGCAGGTGTTCATGTTGTTTATTTACATGTTCCAGGGCATTCAGAATGGATTCTAGGGCTAAATTGTGGTGACACTTGGCTTGCATTAAGCCCTGTTTAGGAGTGCAGAAGCTCAGCTTCTTTTTTGCTTAGTTTTTATTCAAGGTATGTGACGCTTTTCAGAGGCAAAGGAAAAGTTGGTTTCCCAGGTGTAAGTTTTCCCACTAGGGATTCAGATAACTATTTTTGATACATTTACCCTTCTTGCATCCAGTTGCAGTTGTTTTCCCAGCTTGTTAGCAGGTCTTAGCAAAGAATCCCTTCCGTGAGTGCCCAGCCTTTCCTCCTCCTCTTGACCCCTCGTCTAGTTGTTCCTCTCTCTTTTCATTTCCTCTCAGTCAGCCAAGTGTCTCCAGCAACAAAAGGCACTCAAGCACCTGTACAAGGGTCTATTGAAAGTGCTTATTCAAAGCCATTGCCAGGATTAGCAAAGGCCAAACCACTAAAGGGCCAGTTCAACGCAGTCTCTGTTCCTGGAGATTGCAGCACTAGTCTGGATATCTGACAACAACAGTCTCCTTTGTAAAATTTCTGGTGCCTCCTGCCCCGTGCCAGTCTGTCTCCTGAGGCTTTTGGTCTTGGTTGGATCCAGGAAGCTGCAGACAAAATAGCTAGACTGAACTTTGAATTCAAGCCACACAAACTGTTAAGTTTGATCTGCTGCTTTTTTTTTTTTTTTTTTTAAGAAATCCACCACTGTTTTAACCCTTACTGGCTAGAACAGCAGCATCTTGGGATCTTAGCCTTGTTGTGGGGTCCTCTTTCTCAGTTGAATTTTGTCAGGTTTCTGCAGCAAGATGTGCCATTTTATGGTCATTTCTCCCTTTAGGACAAGCTGGTTTACCACCAGCGAAGCAGCCAGGCTCTCCCCCCAGGTCTCTATTTGGGTTACCTGAAGCTCTGTAGTGCTGTTGACCAGATCCGAGTGTTGGTGCCTGAACGTTTACCCAACATATTATGTCATGTGAAGATACGAAGCAACCCAAACATCTCCAGGTAGGGCTTTCAATCCAGGTCTGCAGCATACATTGATGGACAGGGTTATTTCTTAATCCCATTGTGCTCTACATCACTTGCTCTCAGTCAGAGGGTTAGAGTTAGGGAGATCCCTTGTTGGTTTGACTACAGCTAAATGGGTACGGTCAAGAGAAATGGAAGAGAGAATATATGGACAGGGCAGGCAGGTTTGCCAGCAGGTTTAGATGGTGATGTTAAAAGAAGATATTTCCAGATATCTGATGAATTGCTCATTAAATGATGTTATATGTACTAAGTAAGGAAAAGTCACATACTGAACTGAGATCTTTTGGCTGCATATTAATCATGGGATAGCAGCTCCAGGGGGTATAACCAATCTGTGACTTCTGAAGCAATTGCAGGTTCCTATTCTGATCTCAGACTATGGCAGTGAGATATTTTTAACTCTCTCTGCTCTGCTGGCTCATGGGTCCAATATAAGAACTTTGGTTCAAAAATGATTTTTTTTCCTGCTCCTAGCTCTTTGCCCTAGTTCCTTCCAAGTGAAAAAGTCAGGTTTCATGTGAAAAGTCCATATACATTCCCATACTAAATGCCCTGATGATATGCAGACGTTGAGGGCTTCTTTAGACATCACACATTTCCTATATGAAAGCACTTCCAGAAGAAGTGTGAAAATGCACGTCCTAGCAAGCAACAACATAATCATGTGCATTTTTTCCTAGGCATTTACTGCATGTAAGCTATCTGTGCTTTTATCCCTATGTCTTCTTTTCAAGGGAGGAATGGGAGTGGCTGCAACACCAAGCCAGTGTGGAGGAGCCAATTCCCACAGAGCAAAATCTCGAGACCACCCAGAATCTCTTCCTTCAGGAGCTTCAAGTGGCAATCAAAGAGCTGATGCAATTGGTCAATATCCCACTGCATGAGGTAACTTTTAGGTGCGGCTGTATTGTGTGTGAGAGGAGAAAGAGGTATTGCTGATTTTGTAGCTCAGTGAAACATTACTGTACTGGCGCCAGTTTACATTTTTTACATTTCTACTTCATATAATGAATATTAAGCCAATATACAGATAGAAATTATTCTTTATAAGCAAGAACAATGTAGCCAAGGGTGAGCCCTACACTGAAATGATTCCCATTCTGATGCAGATTCTCTGTACTGCAGCGTAAGCAGCCCCTGCTCAGACAGTAGTGCAAACTGTAAGATAGGTCTGCACCTCAGAGAATGTCTAAAGTATGTCAACTTTATAAATATTGGCTAAAACTATTGTACCTAGTTTTCTTGGCATGATTAAACAAAAGAAGCCTGCAAGATGAACCCCTGGGAGTGAATTATTTTTTTAAAAAAAGTTTAAATATCTAGGGGGGGGGTATTCTACCCTATAGGATTAGGAGAGTCTGACAGCAGCAGAAATGCCAGTCTAAACATTAGATCCTGCTATCCACCTCCCAAAAGTTCATTTGCTTCTTATGTAAAGCCTTGTTGGCCTTCTATGTTACTTTGCCAAAACTTAGTAAGAATGTATCTATGAACAATGGCAAAGATCTAAAAGGATGTCTTCCAGAAACATCCCAATATTAGGAAAAAGCCATTTCAGTTCAAAGAATCATCCCCCATACATGTTCAACTGGTTGCTAAGTTGTGGCTGTACATCAATGCCTTCTCATGTTTGAATTCTACAGGCCAAAGATTTTCGCCTGTACAGTCAGGAAGTTCTGGACTTCGGAGGACAGGTCTCATTTCTCCTTCTTCTGCCTCCCTCCGAGGATGTGTGTACTGCCCCTGGCCAGAACAATCCTTACACACCTCGGTCTGGATTTCTCACACTTCCACTTCAGATCTTTGAGCTAGGTGAGAATGGCTGCATGGGGACCCTTTGGGATGTATCAATTTTGTTGTCCTCTGCTTCCTGCTTCTTCACAAAGGGACTGTCTCATGTCATCCTTAATCCAATGAGTTTCTTAAAAAGTACTTTAAAAATCTTTTAAGTGATTGGGACCTCGAAAGGTCTTAATCCAGCCCAGGCCTGAGGACCACATATATACCAATTTTTTTCAGGTTGAAGTCTACACTGGCCCACGGCTAACCCTCTGGACCAAATTATGAAAATAGGCATGGCTACAGTATAAAAGTGGGTGTGGCCCCCTTTTAAGGACATAAGTGGGTGTCACAAAACCTTTTCCCCATCAAATTATCACAGTGGGGGAACCATGGGAGCAGTCAGTTTAATATTTCTTTTTAAGGTGGACACATTTTTTTAAGCATCATGGCATGACAGTGGGGAACTTATAGGAGCAGTGAAGGAGATTTTTTTAAAAAAAAAAAAGTTTAAGTTTTAATATTTTTTAACTTTTTCTTTTAGTAACAAATTGAGGTTTTTTGGGGGGAGGGGTAGATATGAGATACATGTTGGCCACTGCAATAAAATCAAACAAATATTGATAGTCCAAATTCATCTGTGAGCTTTTTTCTACTTTATATAGCTCCAGTTCTGTTGGCAATGATTTGATCTGCTTCTGTGATGGTCCCCTGGTAATACTTGACCCCCTCCTCTTCCTTTGTTTTCCAGTTCATTTTTTCACTTATGACCACGAGTTCATTAGTCAGTATTGCCAAGTGTCTGCCCTCTTGGAGCTAGAGTCACTTCTCTCTCAACAGAGCCTCAGAGAGGCCTTCTCAGACTCAGAATTAACTACTGCCAAGCAGAGGCATCAACAAATTCAGGACTATATACAGGTATGTTACAGAGGAATAATAGAAAGTATTGAGTGTGAGATGCTCTGCATGATATGCTAGGTGACAAATTGCTGATCCCCTGTACAACCAATCCAGTACAGTATATCTTCTTTACATGGCTAATTGCTGGAATATAGCTCTCTTGCCTTGGGATTGCATGCAAAATGTTTCCAGTAAACAGGGGATTAACACTCTCACTGCCCTAGGACAGGCAAGGTCACATGGAACCAAAATGATTGTATCAGTCAACTCTTGAGTCTCTGGCTCCATACCTTGCCTGCCTTGCCTTAAGACAGAGCTTTTTACAGATCCTGCTTCTTATTCCTTCATGGTTTTTTATTCTTACTTTGCCAGCTCCCGGTTCCTTATTTATTAGCTTTTTTTCTGCCTATTGTCTAAAATAAAAGGGAAGGGAAGGACGAGTATATCCAGTCATGCAAAGGTATCACCTCTTCACAATCCTCCCTCCATAGTGATGACATCCAATGTCAGTCTCCTCTGCTGGGGAAGGATGGTTCAGGGAATGTGAAACGATCATGAGTGACCTCACAGCATAGACTAGCTGGAGTTGTGAGTGATCTTATTCACCCTTTTAGGCCTTTGCATGACAGTTTCACTTTCACCTATGGCTTAGTCCACACCATAACTGTGAAAGTGCACCTGAACATGCAAGGAGAGACATGCCACACAGGTCTGTATAGCAGCAGGAGGAATCCTTCCTGCTGAGTGACTTTGGTGGAGGCCAGCCTTCTCTACAAGAATGACCAGCACATCAGAATGGAGTTTCCCTAGTTAGTATTAAGTCAAGTTCAGCAGTGGTTCAGGAGACCATGGACAACCACAAGTTATCCAGGTTTTTGGATGAAGGAGCAGAGGGGTTGGGCACCCTAAATCTTCAGTGACAGGAAGATTTCTATATGCCTTTCTGTGAACCCCACTGATTTCCAAGATGTTGAGGAAGAAACCCACATCATCCTGGCAAGTACCCTTTTGGTCCAGTAGACCTTTGTTTTTCAACCTCCTTCACCTGTCATTTCAGGGTATGTGGCAGCAATGACCTATTAACCCAGAGGCATATATACCATCCAGACCCAGCCTGGCTAACACTAACTGCTTGGTAGCTGGTCCTTGAAGCAGATCTTTCCTGTTCTGCTGTCATACAGATGCCCAGCCACACTCTGAAAATATATAGCAACATCATCCTGGCTGTTCTAGGGCAGTGGGAGTGTTAGTTCACTGTTTACTGGATCCTGCTGCATACACCAGAAAGAACATTAGTAGTAAGTAACCAACAGCGTTTTATAGGATAGCTCCTACCCCAGAACTCCCACTTTTGTTTCTTACTAGTCAAAGCATCTGGGTGGTGATGCCAGCATGCTTTCAGCTGTGTTGTGCTGCGTTAAGATTTATTTATTGTCAATAATGAAGGATCTCAAAGGCATGCAGCAGCTCTAGCCAGCAAGCCCATCTAAGTGTTAAGCTTGTCTCTTGTCAAATCCAAATTTGTCCTCTAGAACAGTGACTCCAAAACTTTTCCCCCATGGACCACTTGAAAATTGCTGAAGGTCTTGGCAGACCACTTAATGCTTTTTCTTCCTGCTGTAGCAATTGTAACGCACTGTGCTTTTAATTGTATTTTTATTCTTTTATTTTTTATATATTGTATTACAATTTGAATTACATTGAATTCCAACTGTAACACAATAAAATACAAAATATGAATATTCCCATGCCATCTCCTGTCTTCAACCACAAATCCAAAGACACGCTGTGGACCACCAAAATGAAGCTTACCTGCCTGAGATTGATCTTAACTGCCTGACAGTTTGAATGCAAAGGGCCAAGATGTGAGGGAATTTCAATGACTGTTTAAAAAGAAATTGATCTTATGCAACCTTCTATTATGGCCTTGGGTAAATTTACTTCTCTGCAAAATCCTGAATTCAGGGAATAAGTATGGAGTGGGGATTAGAGGGGGAGTTATGAGAAATGACGCAATCCTAGGAAAGTGCTCCTGTTTGAGACGTGTTCAATGAATGAACCCTATTTATCCAGATTGGTAGCACAGCACAGCAGTCTTAAGGAGTTTCAAGGAATGTGTGGGGTAGTTTCAGGGCTGTAAAAAGTTACCCATGCCACACCAAGTGACTACATCCCAGTGTGCATAAGCTCTACATGTGTATTAACATAAGTATATAAAAACCAGATCCACCCCACATGGAGGATCTCTAAGAGCATCCATCAATATGTGTGTACAACTCCTTCTCATACAAAGATGGCAAAACTTGTGGCTAGCCTGCTGCGCAGCCTCCTGAAAGATTTTTCAGTGCCAAAAAAGGAGCTGATTCTGTGTCTTTCTCTTGGACAGCAAATGGAGGAGATCTGGCGAGAAATGCGCTGGATGATGGATGCATTGCAGCATGCCCGGTACAAGCAGCCTTCTGGTGGCATCCCACTCACATGGTTTCTTGAAGAATCTAGCATTGTACTAAAGGAGAAAACACGATCAACCTCTTCCCATTTGGACTTCCTTCCCTCACCTACCCCTTCTCCTGAAATGAGCCGCAAGCTCAACTCTGGTGAGTTTCCTTTGCATTTTTCTGAACTTTTAAAACTGCTAATCAATCCCCTCTCCTAGTCCAGCCCTCTGCTCTAACACAAGGTATCTTATCTAAAACCTCCCCAGTAACTGTCTGGACAACCTCTTCTGAAAGTATTCTGACAAGGGCATTCTACCATTTTATCTCCCTAGATAGCTTATTCTCGCTCATTCTCTTTGCCCAGATGTTTTTCAAAATCCATTTTACAGATATTCTGTTTCACTGAATAAAGGCTCTTTAGGTGGGTGGTTCCCACATTTGGGAAATTGGCAAGTTACCTGTTTTGGATGGGTTTGCATTCCCTCAGAAGAAGTTTGGGGGGTACTCCTGGATACATCTTTGTCACTAGAGGCCCAAGTGTCCCCTGTGGCTATGAGTTCCTTTTACCAGCTTCATCTGGTTTGCCAACTATGGCTATTCCTGGACAGGGATAGTCCATGCATTGGTAACCTCAAGGATAGAGTACTATAATGTGTTCTATGTGGGGCTGCTCCAGCTGGTGCAGAATGCTGCAGCCAGATTGCTGATGAGGAGTTTCTAGTCAAGAACATGTGACAGCATTGTTAAAAGAGCAGGACTGGCTACCCACCTATTACCGAGCCAAGTTCAAGATTCTTGTATTGATTTACAAAGCACTGAACAACTTGGGTCCAGGGCACTTTGGGGATCGCTTGAACCTTTATATTCCAGCTCGATCACTGAGATCATCTGCAGAAGCATCTGTGGTCGTTCCCTGAATTGATGAGGCTCATTTGATAACCACGAGAAATCAAGCCTTCAGTGTCCTCAGTCCAGTCTTGTGGAACACCTGCCAATAGAGATTCAGTGGGCACCTTATGTGTCAACTTTTCAAAGCTTGCTGAAAAATTTTCTATTCCACCAGGCCTACACAGGCAATTAATAGTACATCCCCACAATGGTCTATTGATGTTTGTTTTTAATTTCTTTCTGCTTTTAACTTGTTTTTGACATTTATAATTTTACTATTTGGTTTTCTGTTTATATTGTTGTAAACCACTGTGATGTATTTTTTATGATACAGCGGTATAGAAATATTTTTATAAATAAATGCATCCTTTTCTTTGCTATTGATTTCCTTGGATTTATCTGCTTTATAGGCCTTTACATATGAAAGCAGTCTTTCCCTCCTTAACCACTGCATGTAAAGCTGAAGGTGCTATCACAACTTCCATTATCTAGACCAAGTTATCTTTGTCACCAGAATTTTAATAAGAAAACTTCTATCATTAACCTTGATGAAGCCTTCCAGATATCCTGACAGCACAAATTTAGGAGTTGTCGGAATCTGATGCATTGTAATCTTTAATATAATCTCTAGTACCTCTTGCCAGCTACTTGTTAGTAACGACACCTAAACTATTCACCTCCCTTGTACACATATATTTTCTAGAAAAATGAGGAAGGCATGTGCAGAATTTGTTTGAGGATTGTGGGATAAACATGTTCCAGGCAAAAATAGTTAAAAATTGGCAGTGAAAAGAAACTGGGCAAAAGTGGAGTGGCAAGAGTGGAGTGTCAGAATCCCTTTCACCCCAATCTTAAAAAGAAAGAGGAAGGAGACTAGATTGGGGAGAGACTCACAAAGATCACTGGCCAGATGATCACTTCCAAGTAAACTGATGATGTTGTGCTCTTGCCCATAAATGCTTTAAACAGGTTACATCCTGTTCCCAGGATTGTACAGGTAATGCAACTGCCATTTAGTTTGTGTTACCAGGAAAACAACCTGGCAGAGCAAGATTGGCCATGAGCCAGAGGTTCCTCACCCCTGCTCTAGCCAATCAGAACTCCCAGGTTTGGAGTAGAAACAGGTTTGACCCTCAGGTCCACTTGTACAACTTGCTTGAGTGAATTACTGCACATTTTCCAAGATAATTCCCCGATAAAGAAGTAATCTTTTTATCATTTTCTTTCAGATTCACATGGAATCTCAGATGAAGAGGGCTCATCAGAAGTATTCTTAGCTACAGACAGTGACTATGACTCCAGCAGAGCCCAAAGCCCCAGAGAGCTTGACCTTCTTTACCCCTCTTCAGGGCCTGAGTACTGCAGTAGAAGAAATCCACGCCCTTTGAGGGACAGTGCCCCTGACGTCCTGCAGAACCATGAGCTAAAGACACCTCCTATTCCTCCAGAGGAGCCTCGGCCTCCCCCAGAGCTTTATGACAGTGACTTTGTGCTTCCTAGTCGGCAAATAGAGCTGCTGCGCATCACAGAGAAGAGGCAGGCCTACTGTGTCCGCACCAGCAGCCTGGATTTCCCAAAAGCCCTTTGCCATGGGGCCAGAAAGTCTTGCCCTGGCTCTGTTGACAGTTCACCAACTGAAAGCAGAACTGCAGGCCGTTGCAGCCCTGTGAGACTTGGGACAGGCTCAGAATTCAGCCCCAGGCATGGCTGTCCTGCAGGGAGCTCTGAGCCTGTCTTTCGGACACGCTCAGTGGAATGGACTCGCACCTTCCAGGAGGCAGCAGATCCAGGACATGTAGCAAACCGGGTCAAGTCAACAGGCTCCTTCGCCTTACGTGTGTGCCCTCAGTACGAAACAGGGCTCTCCAAAGAAACAAGCGTTAAGGTATCATTAAAATCCTGGTCTTGGCTCATCAATACAATAGTGCAGTACTGAAAATGGAGGCAACACTTGCAGGAAGAAGATGTATTCCTTTTTCCCAGATTTGGCCATGTGACCCTTCCCCTTCCTGATACTTTCCATTAAATGGGTTTCCGAGTATTGCTTCTTTTGGGGCTGCGTCCCAGAACTGGCAATGGTAGTGTCAGTAGGCCACAGAGAATTGGAATGCTGTTATTATTCCATATGATCTGAGGATGCATCCAGACAGCAACTCCCTGCACTTTTACTTTTGCACTTGCAAAAAGAATATGTATTATGTTTATTAGATAATACATCCTTTTCGCTATAAAACCACACTATAGACACAACTTAACATGTCCCGAAACATAATGTTCCTGCCTCCGGTACCTTATTTATTTATTAGCAGGTAGTGCTGTGGTCTAAACCACTGAGCCTCTTGGGCTTGCCAATTGGAAGGTCAGAGGTTTGAATCCACGTGATGGTGGTGAGTTCCCGTTGCTTTGTCCCAGGTTCTGCCAACTTAACAATTCGAAAGCACACCAGTGCAAGTAGATAAATAGGTACCACTGCGGCAGGAAGGTAAACGGTGTTCCGTCATTGCTTCCATCATGGTGTTGCATTGTGCCAAAAGCGGTTTAGTCATGCTGGCCACGTGACCCAGAAAGCTTTCTGTGGACTAACGCCAGCTCCCTCAGCCTGAAGCGAGATGAGTGCTGCACTCCATAGTCACCTTTGAGTGGACAACTGTCCAGGGGTCCTTTACCTTTACCTTATTTATTGGGGATTATGTCCAGTGAGTTGTTCATTTCCACATCAGCCAGGTTCAATTTTTGAGCTAGCAATGCTGATTGTGGCTTGCAATGCTGCACTTTTATGGTGGTTTATTATGATGCTCTTAACTAAGGGCTTCATGAATCATAAATAGCCAAATTTTCAAATGGAGTAAATGGGGTGGACATGTACAGTGTAGATCTGAACACGGTATAGTATTACAGTGTAGCCTTCAGGGTGTAATAATATGAATGCACTAGGCATCCATTTACTTGTTAAGGATTAACCTTAGATCCACATCACAAGTCATATTGGTTCAGACTATGGACCAATAAACTTTACCATTCTAGCTAACAGCATTTGTTCTGAAGATAAATCACACTGCAGTCACTGGAGCAAAGAGCTTTGTAAAGATTCCATTCGGGTGTAGATACATAGATTGTACTGGGTTGACTACGGGACACCAGGGCATCGTCTCTGTTGTCCTCTCTTCCAGACCTTGGGACTAAGGAACTATTCACCATAACATAACATTTAAAAGAGAATGGTGATTTATGTCCACTATCAAAGGATGTTTTCTAGCGTAGAAGGAAGGATGTTGATTGATTAGAGAAGCATTAGCAAAGGAAGGCATTACAGATACAACTGTGGTTTAGGGATTAGGGGTGGGCCATAGGATCCTCTTTCAGAACCAGTGTCCTGAATTAAGAAACACCCTTAACCAGGGTTATAAAAAATCATGCATAAGACCAAATAGGTTAGAGTAGGAAGAGAGGCATTTGTTTCTGGGAACAGATAATAGTGTGTGAGCCCATGGCCTTCTTTGATTCTTCTTTGAAACTATGGTTGTGTGTAATGTCAGGGCTGAACTTCAGTCTGGCTTCACAGTGTCTACATTTTGGACAGTCGGATAAAATGAATAAATAGACAGGAGACAATGTTTGTTAAAGAATTATCATATAGAGCCCAAATGGGTGGCAGTCATATACTCTATATCGTTCTTGGTGGTTGTAGCCATGACTGGTATGTAGCCCAAGCCAGTGCTATTTTTCTAGAAAAAGAGGTGCTGAAACTCATCATGAATGCCTCCCTTGCTCTCTTATAATGGCAAGTTCCTGGCGAGTTCCAACTGAAAAAAAGTCTGGCCTAAGCTTGACTCAAACCTAAGCCAAACCTGACCACCTGTTCTGGAGTGGTGGTGTCATGGTGAGTATGGCCATGGCGTATAGCTCTTTGCATTTAGACAATATTCCTTGCTATAGAAAGCAAGGGGAAATGATGTGGTTGGACTGCAATCTTCCAAAACTGCTTTCATGGTATCACTATTTCTATCCTCATTTCTCACTGGTATGCTCCTAAAAAGAGTGATCAGGCAACTTTTATGCCACATCAGCAGAACATCTTCAATGTTCTGCTCTTTTTGGCATGGCTAAAAGTCCTTTTCTTGTTTATCCAGAAGGCCTGTGGACACCAATACTATATGCAGATCTCAAATTGAATCTAGGATAGCTCACCAAATTCAATTATGCTAGAGTACAGTGCCCTCAGTTTCTATTCTTGTGGGACTGGAATAAGTTTAGGAAGACACATTAATTTCTCAGTTAAGTATCTGGCTTTATTCTTTAGGGGGAGCCAGCTTATTTGGGTATACCCTCGTCTTTCTTTGTCCTTCCTCTTGCTCTTACTTACCTCTATTTCTGCACAGCTGCACCTCACCAACAAGATGTCGGCAGAAGATGTGGTGAAGCTGGTGGTGCAGGAGATGAACGAGGTCTCACGCGATGTCCTGGGAAATGCAGATGCTTTCTGCTACAGTGAAGACCAATTGGAACACTTTGGACTAGTGTTCGTGTCAGATGAAGTTGAGCAGTGGCTTCCAAATGACTTCCTGCCCCTCTCGCTCCAAAAGGCTTGGCCTGATGGGAGGTTCTATGTTCGGATCAAAGAGACTTCCCCTCTCCTGTTTCAGTATGGGCCAGCAACAACTGTATGAGAGGAGGAGGAATGGATTGGATTAGGAAGGAAAAGTGAAGAATATCCAACTTCCAGTGAGCAGAAAGCTCAGCACTAATGCTTCCTTCTTGAAAAGAAACTTTTGTGCCAGACACCACAGGCCAAAATAGGAGCATACTGGGCAGTGTGTTGCTCTGTGGTGTGTGTGTGTGTGTGTGTGTGTGTGTGTGTGTGTGTTGTTTTAACCAAAGATGTCAAGATTTGTTTGTTATGACTCCTAAGATCTGTGGGTGGGGTACAGGAGCCTTTGGGATAATGGAATTAAATTTGTGAAGACACTTTTTGCAAGGAGAAGAGCCGGTTGGGGATAAAGAAGCAATACTTAATTATATTTTTCATTCTGAATGTTGAAGGGAGGGAGAGAATGTGACATTGAAGGATTCTGACTGAAGTGGGCCCAGAGTTGGGGCCTGGAGGTGGGAGGAGCACAGGGAGCTCACAAAGACTTCATGTTTTGTTATCTGTGTTCTCATTGTACCTGGAGAAATATGAAATTGCACATAGTTCTTTGAAAAATGTATTTTCATTTTCTTAATTCCACCTTAAATATACGCAGCACAATATATAAAATATGTTCAAACTGTGCAGGACTGTAAAGCCCTTTCTACTGTTGGGAGAGACAGACAAGACTTTACATCTGGACTAGAACCTTCTCTTAGGGGTAAGATTAAGCCAACCTTTGAGCTCACCAGAAAGAGGCACTCCCTGCTGCCCCAGGCTGGCTGTGTTGTGGGTCTGGAAGAAGGTTCCTGAGATTTCTGCTTTCTTTATTTTCAGTCCTATAGTTTCTCTTTTATTTTTAAGCAGCTTTGCTTTCCCCTTTCCTCTACCTAGGCAACAATCTAGAAAGGAGCACAAGGAAAGGATTGTTGCATATTAGGTCTAGAGTTAACTCCTCTCAGGAAGCTATTCACTTGCTTACCTTCCCCTACAGTGTAGGGAAGCAATGCTTCTTTCTTCCATCTCCCAGCAAGCAGTTGAAGATTGTAAATGAAACACCTATCATGTAAGCCAGATGTTACCCCTCCACAGAAGCAGAAGTAGCACTGGACACGGGCTACCACTCCCATATATGCACAGTTGGTCTAAATCCCATGACTAGTCACACCACACACCCAAGCAGTTGAGAAGCAGGAAACTATCTCAACAAAGATCATTCCTGCCTTCCCTCACAGCAGTGCATAGCCCATGCAATTGAGTATTGACTACAGTACCCTTCCCCACTCTAGAAAAGGTGGTAACAAAGTTTAGTGCCAAAGTCAAGAAGATCCTCTCTTCCTTCTTTTCCCTTCTGTCCAATCCTACCAGCTGACATCTGCCGAGGCACTGATTCTCTTCTGTCCAATCCCATGAGAAAGAAGCAGAGAATATCTGAGGAAGAAATGATTCTCCCAAGGTTCATGTGAGCCACTCTGGGTGGAGAAAGTACAAACAAGTCCTGATCTCTGGACAGCAAGCTTAGAGCACCCCTTTCCACACAAAAAACTTTCCTGCACTGAAGGAAAGAGGCTGCAGGGGGAAAGCAGCTGATTAAGAGTTAAACAATGCTAACATTCTCCAATTCTCTGCTGCAGATCATGTCTGCCCGGCAGCTGTTCCATGAAGATCTAGTGTGAACATATTTCTTTCTCTCAACCCCCCTGAGACATTTGTCTTGCATGCAGAAGGTCCCAGGTTCAATCACCAGCATCTTCAGGTACTGTTAGGAGAGACTCCTGCCTGAAACCTTGGAGAGCTGCCACCAATCAATGTGGACAATGTTTAGCTAGTTGGACCAATTGTAGGTTTTAATATAATGTAAATAATAATAATAATAATTTATTATTTATACCCCACCCATCTGGCTGGGCCTCCCCAACCACTCTATGCACTGCTTCCCTTCTAGAAGCTTAAGTTCCCATTCCATGCCCTCACAATTTTTTTTACTCCATCTTACTCCAGAATTAAGGGCAAATTCCATTTATAAGATTGTTCTCCTGCCCTAATAGAGAGCGGGATATTCCCATTCACTGAAAAACACCCTGAGTTAGATTACAAAGGCTGCACATGTGGGGGCATAATCATTTGTAGCACTTTGACAGCTTAAATCAGCTCTGCAATCTGAAAGACCTTTTGTTTTACATTAAAAAGAAGAGAGAGATACCCAATCTGAGACCAGGTGTAACTGTCCCTAGGTGAGCTGTTACTCACTTTTTAATAAAAAATGACCTTTTTAATAAAAAATTCTGAGAAAAAGAGGGTGGGATGGATCTATGAAGACAGGATCCTTGGCTCAGTAACCCAAGGGGACCTGATCTCTTTCCTCAGCATCCAGGCAAATATTGCCCATTTCCCAGATCTTTCTAAAATCATAGCATTTAGAAAGCTAGCCAGCCATATCTTTTGTGATACTATTAGCTATAAGCAACTGAAGCAGAGCATTTTCCTAATTTTTCTTTTCCAACTATCACTCAACATTCTGTAACTACTGAGCATGTTCTGGCTTCATCAAGCTACTTGCTTTAGGTTTTTCTCCTTAGTTTTTTGTAAATGTCTGTAGTTCTGCAAACTACTCAAAAATTTACAAGTGGGTGCTCTTATAGAAGCTTTGATGTCAATGACAGCCATACCAGGTGATTGAAAGGGGTCCCTTGACTTCCTGTTTCCTGCCAAGGGAAATGGCTGCCTCCCATGAGATTGGACCCCCAGCAGTGCAAGAAATTCAGGGTTAATATGAGTGTGATTAGCCCTGTTGACACCCCCCAGGGTAGGGGGGGGGACTTGCTGCCCGCAGATCATCCATTATCTGCCTCACGCACAAGATGTGGGGCCTGGGACACTGGGTGATGCATGGCACAAACTAGGAACTCTCCAGAGTCAATCCCACGAGCAGGAGATAACTGTTTTCTAAAAATTAAAAAGATTTGGACAAAAAACAGGTGTGTTCTGGACGGAAAGAGATAAAAGAAAAGTCTGCTAAACTACACAGTCACTGGAGGTTAAGTTTCGGACTTCAAAAAGGCTCCCATCTTGGCATGTTGATTAATGAGGTGAGGGGCTGCCGTACTTTTGTATTTGTTATATTTACTATTTCATGATTTGGTGAACCTTGCCAAGAAAGAATTAATTATCCAAGGAAACGAAAGAAGTGTAAAATGAATTGGCTGTATGGCACCACAGTCCTCGGCGGAGAGCCCTAATCAAAATTGGCAGAGTAAAATCAGATATGAAAGTGGCTCAGGCTAAGGAGGGAAAATGGTGGCGGTAACAGTTGTGACGCAGAAAGAAAAAGGCGTCTCCTTTATCTGAGAGAGGCTGGAGATACTTTTTATTTGAACCACAAAAGGCATGTACTTTGCAAAAGATGCATTTGCTTGCATGGAATATTTTCATATATGGTTTGGAGAGTGATGGTGAATTCTGGATGCCTGCCAGCTTTTCTAGGGCCCAGGAAAGCTGGCATGGTTATTTCTTGGGGAAACCAGAAACAATATTTATATAACTGACTGACTGCCAAATACATCCCATGATACAGTTTGAAACATCAGCTTATTAAGAGATATCAAAGACAACATGGCGTCATTAATTTTAATCTTGGATGGAAGCCCAAAGCCTTTCAGAGCAAGAAATGGCAGAGAAAGGAGGGGCTATCAAAAGAGGACTGTGCTTCAAAATAATATGACTGAGAACAACATGGAATACAATTTACTTCCTCTGTGATTATAGAAATATGGACTCGTCAAACAAAGATAGAGAGCCACATATCAGCAATTGGTGGACTGAGAGATGAGGATAGTTAATATCAGGATTAGAAAACTGGGAAACAACCAAGAAGAAAGCAGAAAATAAATGAATGACATTATCTCTTGAAATTCAGAACATGGGAATTCCCCTTTGAAATTATTTTAATTGGCTGTATTTTTTTGTTTGTTTTTAATGTGGTAAGATTTGGTCTGTTTTGTTATTAATATATTTTTTTTATTGGAAAATGAATAAAAATTATTTACAAAAAAAAGAGAAAGGGGTCCCTTGAGAACTTCAGTGACAAGTACACAGCGATACTTCTCAAAGTTGGGGGCCTCAGCCTTGATGATACAAACATGCTATTTATTTTGGATGTATCCCACCCTTCCTCCGTGGAACAAAAGGCAGCATGCAAAGGGTTTGTAGGTGGTCTCTCGTGTCCAGGCCTAGACCTGCTTAGCTTTTGCAAAGTGGCTGCATCCTATGCCTTCATCAAGGGCCTTAAGACTAATTCCATTTGCCAAAGCAGTTCACCTTTGGGTGGCAAATCTTACTGCTGCAGAACAGAAACATTCAAAACCATCTAGGATGAATGTTAGATCTCCCTCATAATTATTGTGCTGATGGATTCTTCCGCAGATGCTATGTAACTTGGAACATAATGCAATGCTTCCAATATAGTAGAGCACAGGAACTTTAGACTTTTAAAAAGTTCATTGTTTATACATACTCGAACATGTTTGGCCAGCTATCCTTTTTGAGGGTTGTATGGTGTTTGGGCTCCCTTTGAAACTGCTCAAATTGACACAAGGCTAATACAAAATCCCTCCGTATGGCTAAGAATACAACATTCACACCCAAACAAGTCATTTCAGGTCTTCAAGCCATTCTACAAATCCAAGCAATCTAAAAGCTTCATTTTCAAACATGCCAACAAAGTACATATTCTATCTGCTCCTATAAACTAGTCCCATATCCTATGGGGAAGGAGAATATATTACTCTTCTTGCCACCAGTCCCCCCCCCTCTTGTAACAGATAGAGGGTGGTCTCTGGCACATCAGTTACCTAAGCACCAACAAAAGTCAAGAAGAAGGATGTCGAAGAGTTCCTCAAAATCCTCATGGGTTGTTTCATTGAATCTGCTATCTCGGAGGCAAGATTATGTAGAATACAAAAGTAAAGGTGAACAAACTATGTACAGGAGCCAAAGTAAACATCAACAACTTCTCAAAGCCACGCAGCAACTCACAGACAT